TGGTGGAATCTGGTCTCAGCCACAACTGGTCTTACCTTTTTCTATATGCCTATCCTCCTCCTTGTCTCCTCCCTCATGTCCTTTCATTGATCCACAACCCCCTCCTTGTTGGATCCTGTTGGTAGTGACTCTTTGGCCTGCAAAACCCTGGTTTCCTCTGCTTTTTCATTTGGTGTCCAGGCCATCCTCTTCCTCTGCTCCATTCTTCCTCACTGTTGCTCCAACTGTACATCTCTTTTTCACCCATTGGTACCATCCTTTCATCTTTACATGTAGGACATGTTTGGTCTATAACCCGCAGGGCTGGACTCTCCGATTGCATAGCATTCTTCTTATCCCATTTCTGTAATCCTTCAACTTTGTGCATCTACCAGTTTTTTGACATTGATCCATCTGCCACTCCATTACTCTGAGTTGTCCTATTGTGGTCTACCCTTTTTACATGGTTGCTTGACTCTGGATCGTCAGTCTCCTCCATGGCTGGTTATCAAACTGCTTTCTAAACTACATTTCACTTTTTCCATTACCGCCTCATGTTTTCTTCCTCTGTTCTCTCCACTTTGTCCTGATCCTTCCTTCTTCACCAATCCCCTCATCTGACTCCCATGTCTGAATGGGGTCTTAATGTGTTTTACATGCTCTGTTTGAACCGTTGGCTTCCTGTTCTTTATACCACGTTTCTCTGAACACATTTCTTTCTCCTTTTCACCTATAGTTGCTGTTGTTTCGACTTATTTACCATTTATGCTTCCTGCTCTCTCTGTCATCATACTTATTTACTCCTCTACCTAGACCAGGCTTTTCTTCTCAAGACTTTGACTGCTTGGGAAGGAGATATTTCTTTCTCTCCTATCTCCTTCCCTTCTACCTCTTGCTTCTATGCTCATTCAAACCTTGCTCAGCTTCTGTGCCTGGTTTCTGCTGTTTGGTGTTACTTGGAATTTTAATGTCATTTTTGGGGTTTCTATCATAGTTTGTTTCTGCATTGGGGCCCCCTCTTTGTCCAAGGATCTATCACCTTGTACCCTTACTGGATGGGTCTACCATCTCCTCTGGTTGATATATTTTTCCCTGTCTTTGAAAGAGTTAAGTACATTTTCTTTTTCATCACCCTCTTACCTCTTATAGGATCCCACCAGGTGGTTGGTGCTGCCTTCCTAGGTGTGCTTGTTTTTCAATATTTGCATCAGGCCTGGAGTAACAGAAAGTGCTCAACAGAAAGTGCAAAACCACAAGAAGTATAACTGTGATATTAAACTTACTCAATTTCTCAGTCTAGACTGTACCATTCACTGGACTATCCTGGGTAATGCTGGCACCAAGGAAGCAACTGCCCACTTCTTTGGTTTGTGCATGGTGGCTTTTAAAAATAGGGATTTGCAGTCTGACTCCAGTAAAAGATCTTTCTGACAAGTGTCTGATGGGGATCCAGGTACTTTTCTGGGTCTCCCCAATGTGAATTCTCCCTTCCTTCTTCAAGTGGAGCATGGGAGACTGTTGCTACTTACTAGTTCCTAGCTGCTGGGTGGTGGACCTAGGAGAGTTCCTCCTCCTGCAGTGGAACAGGTTTGGCACCTTTTCTCAGTCTGTCGAGGTAAGACACAAACAGTATAGTCTGGTGAAGCCCTAAACACACTACACTTCTTTGCTCACCAACCACTTGTATGTGAATGCTCAGATGGTCTTGCAAAAATTCCACTCTTCCATGCAACACTTGGAGCTCTTTTGCCTTTCTTTCTCTTCCTTCCACGTGAAGAGTATGCCCTGGTCAAGACAAAATGCCATCTCCCATGGCTGTGCCCCTATGGAATCTCTGCCATTAGTTGTTGCACTCCATGGGCTTTCTTTTGGGCACTTTCTGAAGGGAGCTCATCTACGCTTAATGTTTGCATCAGCCTTTCCATCATTTCTGTGTGGGATTCTAGCTATTCTGTGCGAGGAGATGAGGTATCGTCTAGGAAATTAGTATTTTCCTAATCTGAAAATGTATTTATGATAGATACTTGCCCCCCCTCCCACCTGTCCTCCCCACTTTCGTGCCTCATCTAAGAATGAAGCTGTTTTGGGTGCTGGTGCTTAGGGGAGTTACTGCACAAGGAGGTTGTGTCACCCTCTTATTGTTAGAGGGCTGTTGTTGTATGATGATGTCATCATGTACTAGCACAATTCACATTGAACATATGATTTTTAGGTGGGAGTTAACTCAAAATTAGTGGCATACAAATCTCGTATGCAGATGCATGAGAAATCAAGCTATTTTGTGTGCAGAGTTGAGTATCTATTAGAAATACATTTTCAGGTAAGGAAAATATTAACTTCCTAATAACTGTATTCTGAAAATTTATGATGATATGAGTATTACAAAATGAAGATATTAGTATCAAAAAATTAATTTAATGAACATTTGTTTCTGTATTTGTGGAATTAATTATTAGTTTCATGAGTAACAAATACAGGACAATTTTAATGAAAACTCCATAGTTAAAATTATTATTTCTTAAAAACCACTTGTTCTATAAGAAACTAAATTTTACCAGAAGCACATTGAGAATCATAAGTTTTTATTCAGGAAAATTTGGGCTTGCTCAATTTTAAAAGAGTAAAATATTTACAATGTTTTTTAAGTGTTTGTTAACTCATATGATTGTATTGAGTGAAAATTTTATTCAAAAATTATGTCCTAAACTTTTCTGAGAAAGTCTGTATTTGTTTTAACATTTTTACCTTTTAGAACTATACATTACTATTGTCATGATATAAAAGACTGTTTGGTTTAAATATTAGTGATTAATTTATATTTATGAGTGAATATTTTATTATTTTTCAGTTTTGTTATAATAAGAGTTAAAAACAGACAATTGTAGGAGGTTTTGTTAATAACTAATTGGTGTCAAGAATATAGAAAGTGGCCAAATGACTATGTAATAAAGATATAAATAGTATGAGATAAGCAAGAAGCAGCAGACAGACAATAATAGACAGATAAAAAAAAAAGAGAATATAGCTGTGTGAAGTTATGTACCGTAGATGTGATAGGTCTAACGATTGATATAGGCCTAATGTTTAATATGTTAGAGTGAAACTAACAGTATAAAAAAAGATAAGAATGGTAATTCTATTCCATCAAAGCGTGGATCTAAAGTAATTGAATCAGCCTAGGTACACTTTGACAAAAGGAACACAGGATCTTCAGAAGAAAGAACACCAAACGAATTACAGTAACTTGTGCTACAACTGCAAGTAAATTACACACAGAATACTAATATGATAGTAATATAGAGAAGACAGTTCGACTTGTCAACTGAAATTCTTAACTAATTGAATAGGCCTAAGTGAACTTTTGACAAGAAGAAAACTATATATATATAAATAGTGTTTATGATATGCCTGTACTCTCTATACTGTGAAGACTTTGTTGTACATATGTTTAACTAAATCCGAAAAAAAAAATATATATATATATATATTATTTGAAAACAAATAAAGTGTGTGCTGTTTATTCATCTTTGAATTTATTGCTAAAAAGTCACAGACACCTACTGTAGAAGAATCCTAAGCCCAACAACAACATAGTATACATTTATACTATGAAGAAATATAAGTAAAAGCCATTTATTTCAACAATTGGCAAAAAGAAGAACTTGTATATATAATACTATTTTTTTAAAATCTGATAACTATATTGAAACATTCTATTGTAATTAATTTTTAGAATGACAATATTCTTTAGATTTTAGCAATATTTTCATTGTGGAAGCTAGAAATATTTATTAAGTTTAGCTGTTGAGCCTTCTAACTCTGTTACATTGTTATCAAATATTTTGAGATATTGCAGCTTTTTAATCTAAAAAAATAATTCTTAAAATACATGTGAATCTTAAGAAAACAATCTCCATTAAAGAACTGATAAGGTCTTCAATGGAGATTGATTTTCTTATGATTCAGAATTACTGAAAATTTCTAGGTTTTTATATTTTGCTTAGATGTTATTTTATGTAACCCTGAGCTAAACAGTCTGAACATGTGTAACTGTATAACCTAATGATGCGAAATGGTGAAACATTGTATTTTAAAGTTTTTATTCTATCATTTTGGATGTTTTGATCAGAAGTGATTTTAATTGTAACATGCACATTGTTTTAAAACTATAATTTCTTCTACTTTGTAACTTACTTGTAGTAAGAAATTTATGTGTAGAAATGAATCATTGAGTAAAAAACACTGTTCATGTAAGTATGAAATGGGCATTTATTTTTAGAAACATAATTTTTTAATTTTTCTTTTTAGGTGGACATGCTGGCCAAGTCTCATCCATATAATCCATTATGGATGCAACTAGGGTATGATTTAATTTTACATTTTTTTATTCTAATGTAATTACTTAAAGGAAAAACTAGGTCAAAACTAGGTTAAATAATTTTATGATATTTATTACTGTAAAAATTTGCTACTACCAATACAGGAAGCACTGAAGACTTTTTGTATTGTTGTACTCTTTCTTTTCTATTACTTGGGAAATAAAGTAATTAAAACATTCACTTTATAAATGTTGAGAAAAATGGTTTATTACTTCATAATTTCTCATCTATAGGGATCTATATGGAGCTCTTGGAACTCCAACCAAATTATCAAAAACTGTTATCACAGGAAAAAAAGCTGATGTCATTTTGCGATTTTTGTACATTCTAAGCTACTTCATTCGCTGTAGTGATATTTGTGAATATGAGCAGGATTGGTCCAAAAGTGATAAAGGAAAGTGGTAAGCTAATAGAAGAAAAGAATAGTTCTTAGGAATTAGAAAATTACCTTTTAAAAGGTAACATATAATTGCAGTTGAAGTAATTTGTTGTCATGCTAAAATTTTGTTCAGTAAAGTAACAAGTATCTTTTTTGTTTATTTTTGTCATATGTTTAAAAAATATATCATTTTTGATAATATTGTAGATGTTATGATTCTATAAAAGATGGCTAGGTAGTAGTTTAACATAATTTATCTTCCCTTTATCTAAGCAACACAGTAATTCATTATATTCATGGTTTTTATAATTTTAACACTAGATTTTTTCAATAATTATTTTCATAAATATAAATAATATATTTAATAAATTGAAAGTGACAAAATATTCATTGAAACAGTCAAAACAGGAAAACATCTGTTATTGTTTATTCAGCATAATCAGTTTTGCACATGGGTAAGATTATTTAACATTTTTATATTTATCAAAATAATATCACAATATTCCATTGTAAGAAAGGGTATATTTAAAAGCAGTATGGTTATATGACAACTTATACTGAAGAAAGCTGTAGTTGCATGTCTTTTATAAAAGTTATGTGCTTTTGTTTAAAAAAGTTCATAAACACAGAAACTCGTATACTTGTATATTTGTGTTTGTCTTCATTCTCTTAATGAACTGATGCTGATGTTCAGAATTATTCATTATGTAAAATGTGGTTATCTTACTTCTAAAGGATTCACCAAAACACATCTTCAAGTGAAGCTACCCATAAACTTGGTCAAAAAGCTGACTTTGACATTAGTTGTAGTGATGATCAATGTCCATGTGAGAGATTAGCTGATGGAAGGGATCAACTCTGGATGTACAAGAATATTAATTTCAAAACACCACAGAAATTTGAAATTGTAGAGAAGCAACAGGCTGTAACAGCTACAGCAGAGCATATGTGCAGATATGAGACAGCAGAAGATAGATTTCGCTTGCATAAGCAACTTTACTGGAAATCTTGCAGAAATCAAATTGATCAAATTTTAGAGGGAGATCAACAACACAGGAAACCAATACATAATGTAGAACTTTACCAGCGTAGTCACAATGCTTTTACAGTAATTCCTGAAGAAAGAGACATGAACAGTGTTGTTTTTGTGCTTGGAGAAAGCCCACTGCATTCCCATTTTGATTCAAAGATTAATGTTTGTAAGGAGTGTAAGGGAGTACAAGAACCACTAAACGAAGAAGGCTGTACACCTAAAGAAATACCTACGTTAGACAGTTTGGGTTATAATAGCATGGAGGATATACTAGAATCCACAGCAGAGAACAGAAGAATAGAAAATGAAATGGAAAATACTATGCAGGAAAAAGAAATCTCAAGTAAAAATTGTTTTGAACTAAACAAATGCAACAATTTGGTTACAGTAAAAGAATTTGTCCCTCCTACATTAAAAGTTGAACATGTAAAAAATGTATATACAAGTACACCATTTAAAAATAATAAAATCCTTTCGAATCATGAACATAGTGATACTTTACATGACTCTTTGTTGTTAAGATCCAGTGTTACTAGTGAATGTTTTCTAGATAGTGGAAATTCTTCCAACTTGAAGAAAATACCTGTTCACTCTGTATCATATCCTGATGAATTGCAGAACAAGAGCATTGAGTCAAAAAGCATTGACCAAACTAGGCAGTATTTTCAAGCATACAACAGTTTAAGGTTTGCTCCTGAACCAAAACACACCTCTCATCGTTTTATTGGGAATTATGTGCAAGAAAATTTGCCCCAGGTGAGTCACCAAGAACTTGGAGCTCATATGATTGCTAAAGCCAAGGAAGAATTCACTACTTCTTGCCATTGTAAACCAAGCAAACCTTTAAAACAATTGTCTGCAGTTACCACTATTCCTGAGGAAGGCTACCAAAGCTTAGAAGAAGGATGTCCCCAAGAGAGACATACTTCACTTGGAGATATCTTGAGGTCACAAGAGGAACATCCTTTAGATGGAATAATGGAGTTAAATTTACCACAGTAAGTACTCTTCATATTATTTACCTAATGCTTGTATTAGCATAATAATAATAGCATTGATAGTTAATGTAATTATAGTATTGGGAGAAAATACAATGAATTAAAGAAGATTATATTCTGGAATATTTATTTTAAACACTGTGTATTTGAGATGGCAGTATTTAGCTACTGTATCTGTATGTTTTTTCACGTGTTTATTTTCACTCCTATATCTGTTATCTGAGCAAGAGTATATTTCACAGAATTTATCAATGAACATTTCCAATACAGTACATTACCTCTTCTCACATAAATAGCTTTTCTCATTCAGTGCTACCATCTATATCAAAACATTTTTTGCACGTGCCACAAGCCTTGAAACTCCCATCCATCTGAAATTGACTAATTTCAATGCGTCTTGCATGCAGATTATCATGTGACAACCCTCCATCAATAACAGCACAACACACATTCTTAATGCATGTGACTCACTCTATTCAATTCTACCGAACCATCACTTCTTGTTTGGCAGTACCTGTATTATAACGTTTAGTTTGTACTATTTTCAAGTGTTTTATCTTAATTTTTTCCGTATCTTTGTGTTAATTTCTCGCAATAAGTTTGCTCTTTATTATACAATAATGATACTTGTAACTTATTGAGTTATTCTGATGTGGAATTATTTTATTTTTCTACCTGGTTATGTAACTTATTACTTCATTACAAAACTTTCTATATGTTTCTGCTAACACATTTGTGTTTGGTTATTGATTTTGCATTAAGAGATATATGTTACCACTTCGGAGGTATATGTTCTATTAGCACATTTACACAGGCTTCAGGTTGTGGTAATTCGCGGGAAGATTTATGGCTTTACTTCATTGGAAGATTGATTGTCCAATGAACTGACTTTCATCGGGCCTTGCTTCGGGTTTAGGAGCCCACACATTTGAATACATTCTGCCAACTTTGGAAAGATAAGACATTCTACTGTTATGGTTTTTTTGAATAATTTTATTGTTAATATTATTATCTGTAGTTATTTGGGTTCCATAACATAAGTTACATTAGATTGGTTAATACTCATAGTCAAGTTTAGGTTAGCAATTAGTGTTAGTTGTATCTTTTCTCCATTTAACATTTGTTTAGGCTTACCATGGTCTTTGTTATTTTAGGATTACCTGCAATTCATCTTACTGGTATATCCATCATTAGTTTAACTGTATTGTTTTTTTTCCATACATCATGTCTCATACATATGTTATTGTTTTTACACACTTCTTTAATTTTATACAATCACATCTATTTCATTTTCGTTATTATTTATCTTTTTTCCTCTTCACTATTCACTTGATTTGTGTGGAACCCTTGAGACGGGGTCCACACAAACTTCTTCCAATGTTGTACATACTTATTGTTCTGTTATGTTTTTATTTTAGCATTTAGTGATATCCTTTGTCCTGTAATCGATTAGGCTTCACAAGTGTTTATTTTCGGTTTAACTGTTGTTCTACTTCTGGGTTAATCGATAATTGGGTTAAACATCTTGTTTGATTAGGCTTAATAAGTGTCTGTTATTTTTGTTTCTATTTACAGGTTAATCGATTCATAGGTTAAATATATTTTCTTCAACACTTAACATCACATACATATGTTTATTTCACTATACAGTTTCTTAACTTTCCCACTCTATCGACTATTTCATTATTGTCTTTCTTTATAGTTTATACTTCTTACCATTAATTTAACTTGTGAGGGACTCTGGGGGCTGGGGTCCACCCTACCTGCTCCCATTATTGCCTTCTTCTTATAATGGCTGAACCCATTTTCTGAGGACTTAGATTTTTTTCAGTTTTCCTCCATTTACTCCACTTCCTTCTCTGTGATTTTACCTTTCTTCCCTTACTCATTGGGTTTGGATTGTGATTCGATTGGCCTTTTATTCCTTGTCTCCTTCCCATCATCACTTCCTGGTGTCTTCACTCCAATTATGCACCTTCCCTGCATGTCTACCCAGCTGTCCATTGGAGGTACTTCATATGTTGAGCACTGGGTCTATATATCATCTGGTCATCTTTTATTCTCTGCTCTTGGTAGCTGTTTCTTCCTTGTCGGGGTACCACCATCCACCTGTTGCCATCCTTCACTCTCTCATGAGACTGTGACTGGTAAGTTACCTTGTTAGTATATATAACTCTTATTTTTCAGGGGCATGTCCCTCTTTTTTTCTTTATGGATCTCACTCTGTGGTGAGTGGTGCCCGTCCAGGTATACTAAACTATTAATGGCTGCACTGTAAGGCCATGATGACTTCATATTTATAATTCCATGGCCATGCAACACACACTGTGGAGATGAGATGTTCCACAAGATTGCTTGTAGATTCATCCTTGCGATATGTTTGCTTCATTAGTTTGCGCATCTTGGACTGTACACACCTGTGGACTACATGGGTAAAGCACAAGTGGATAGCTGCCCATCCCTGCCATATCTTGTATTGAATAAATCGGTATAGTCTGCTTTTCAAAATAGGTTTTTGTGGTCACCCATTACACTGTCTCAGGTGTTGTCATTCCCCCAGACTCTCCACTTTGCTTTCTACCCTCTTTTCTTCTAGTTAAGTTTGAAAGTCCTTACCACCTTCTAGTTCCAAGCCGCTTGGGTGGTGGATCGTGGAGGCATCCTCCTGAATGTGTTAATGAAATACAAACAATACATATAAATGTATAATAAAAAACCATTCACATGAGAGTAGGGTGGTGGTGTTCTGCTATTGTAAATGAAGAGATATCCTCCACTATGTAACATGAGAGGGAGCTGCCAAAATTGCAGTTCACGCCTTCGATTGGGATCCATCATCCTACCCCCACGTGGATGTTGGTTCACAGTGGCTGGGTTTTGGATTTAGAACTGAACCAATCAACATACGTCCTCACACATGTATCACAGATGTCTATATTCTCTCACTCATTTATGCTCTTTTTACTCCATTCATATTGTGGGTCATGGTGGTAATATTTGCAGATTACTGTGGTTCTTCCCCTTCTGCTATCCCTCAATGCTTACTATTCCAAGGATGTTACTGTGCTTGGAGTAGTTCTGGTCATTATATCTTTAAGTGATATGGTTTACATTACACAGACATCTTTTCGATACCAAATGTTGGGTTCCCAGATTGATCATTCAATTTCTCACATTGTTATCATGTGCCTATTCATAGGTGAGGGATTATGAGATTCCCTCCAGTCTCATGAGCTTGAGATGAAAACAGTATGATCATCTTTCCTATCCCCCACTATTTTGGATTGTAGTTGACTTGCTGCCAGTATGATCCTCTTTCCTTCCCCCACTTGGATGTCAGTTCCTGGTGGCCTGGGTTTTGAACTGTAGTTGACTTGCCGCCAGTATGATCCTCTTTCCTTCCCCCACTTGGTTGTCAGTTCCTGGTGGCCTGGGTTTTGGACTGTAGTTGACTTGCCACTGGTATGGTCATCTTTCCTACTTTACATGGATGTCAGTACCAGGTGGCTGGGATTTGGATTGTAGTTGATTTACTGATGGTATGATTCTCATTCTACCCCCATGTGGATGTCTGTGCTCAACAGCATGGGTTTTGGATGCAGGGTTTGCAATCGGTACTTATACCAGCGGTACTCAGCATCCAGTACCAGTACTGGTTTATAGTGCATATTATATGTTGAAAATAATATCTGTTATCACATGTCCCATCTTTGGAGTTTTAACCGAACACCTCCTCTGGTATTTCAGTTTTGCTTTTCACTGAATTATAAATGTTTGATGTAGTATGAAATATGGGAAACTGGTAACTCCTATGCTATGGAAGAGAACATGAATGTGCCTACATGACTGATTGCATGTTAGATAGATGCATGTTTGATTAACCGTTAGCATGTGGGCAGGTCAAACTGCACATGTCACAATGTTTTAGTGTGTTACATTAAACAATTTAATTTTCATGGTATACAAACAAACTTGATATCAAGCCATAGATAATAAATCAAATTTTAATATTATATAAGTTTTAAGTTCTTAATTGTATAAAGAAATTTTAATAAACAACCTCAAATTCCCCTAGTGTGAGAATTTGTATATTTGTTCTTGAACCATCTTCTCTTTTGGATTTTTTGTCCACCTCCTAGAAAACTATGAAATGTAACGTAAAATACTCTCCATAATTTCATCATAGATATTCTGAAGCTATATTTTTTATATTCTTCAATCTCACGGGGCAAGAGAGCAATCAATGAAAATTCAGAAACTACTTTCCACACCTACCTCTGACATGCTCTGATTTACAATTTGCTAATAGCTTTTTCTGAGGCCGACTCCCATTAAACTTATAACCAATAGAAAGCCTAGATTTCAACTGATTTATTGCCATAGTCATCATACCACATGGGCTTACAGATAATTGACAATTTGGTTTGATGTGAAAAAAAAATTCCCATGAGAACAAACTGGGAAGAATAGTTGAATCTCTAACTGCTCAAGTCACATGATTAGAGATGCTCGAGTACTGGTACAGGCAATCTAGTACCTTCAGTACTATTGCAAACTATGATTTGCATATAATTGACTTGCTGTGTATGGTCCATTGTGCCCTAGCCACTCTACATGTAGGGGCACATCCATTAATCCTACCCACTTTTATGTTTTCAGGGATTTAGGTCTCTCCCATTTGGATGTTCTCCTCCATCTTTCCACCCATATTTATAGGACATCTTTCCATAATGGAAGAAAAGTATACCTAGTTCAGAAGTGGTGCAGTCTCCTACATATGATCTTCAACTCCAAAGATCTCATTTTGGGGAGTGTCCTTCGGATGCTTCTTTTTTTCCCTCACACAGGTCCCTCCACCTATTCAATGTGGGATTCCTGCTATTTATGTGAATGGAGGTAGTATACCGTATCATACGTTATGATTTTCCTATAATGAAAATGTATTTCCAACAAGTAATTACCTCCTCTCACACTTCCCACCCTTCCTTTGCACTAAAAGCCGGTGCTCTCATTTTCTGCCAACACTTGAAGTGATAGTTTTGTAGAATTGAATAGAGGGAGTCACAGGCGTCAAGAGAGTGTGTTGCGCTCTTATTGGTGGAGGTTTATTGCATGATATTTTGCATGTGAGACACATTAGAATTAGTCAATTCCAGATGGGAGGGAGTTTCAAGGCTTGTGTCATGCAAAATGTATTTGTTTTTTTGCATATAGAGAGCAGCACTGAATGAGAATAGCTATTTATGTGAGAAGGGGTAAGTGCCTATCAGAAATACATTTTCAGTATAGGAAAATTATAACTTTCAGTTGTTTAAAGTTGAATTTTGCTTCTGGAACAATCAAATAATGTGGAATAAATTTTAATTGCATAAACCAGCCAGTTCAGTGCTCAAATCCTTACAAAAGGAGAGACCACATGTTTTCATCAGGTTACATATTTTTGAGGCCAGTTGATTATTTGTCATTATTCCAACTGTTACTGTCTGTTAAGAAATAGACTGTCTAACTGTTTAAAATTGGTACTTTTACTTCTAGAGCCAATGGTTTTCAAACTTTACTTTTCCTCAGGATAGGTGACTGTAGATTCAGTATATAGTTTGTCTCAAAAATTGCCACAATTTCTTTTAACTTCTTATATTAAACTATTCACTATCATCAATAAAATAATTCATAATTCTACCATAAATTGGAACTGAGATTTCTCAATATCATTGTTATTATGACAGTTTCTTTGGGAATTCCCCATTAGACTTTTGATTTAATTGTGCTTCAATAGGTAATTGTGGGAAAAAAAATATTTGTGTGATTTAATTGAATATGGCCTGGCATGGCCAGGTGGTTCGGGCAATCGACTCTTAATCTGATTCTCCGTCCCACCAAACATACTCACCCTTTCAGCTGTAGTGGCATTATAATGTGATGGTCAATCCCACTATTCATTGGTAAAAGAGTAGCCCAAGAGTTAGTGGTGGGTGGTGATGGCTAGCTGCTTTCCCTCTAGTCTTTCACTGCTAAATTATGGCTGGGTAGCACATATAGCCCTCATTTAGCTTTGCTCGAAATTCATAACAAACCAAATTAATTAAATATTTCATCACCTTATATATACAATTTGCAATCTAATGTCAATAAAGAATCTTTTGGAGTGGCATTATCTTACTGTTACAGGAACACTTACTAAGTAAATGTTCATGGGATAGTTTTCTTACCCTAACTTTCTCAATTAAACTGGGGATTTTCACATTTTGTGTCATTAATAGTGGCCCCTTCATCATTTTGGAAAAGGTAAAGGTATGTATCAAAACTGATTTTAAAATTTTGAAATAAACATCTTATTTAGTATGTGTCAGAGGCTTTCTTTAGTGTTTTGTTGTGTGGGAGGACTTCTGTATCCTACTTCACCAGTATTGTTGTTTTATTTCTCTCAAGTGTATTAAAACTTAAACAAATTTATCTGAAAAAAAGTAACAATTTACTAAATAACTAGTACTGACATAGTACTTCACTAGTTTTAGACACCAACATTTTGACAGTAATTCCTAGTAATACTGCTTTCTGTTGTAAACAAAATGGATTAAATAATATGTTAATATTTTTTTTTGAATGATCAACACTGTTTAGCATTTACATGATTTTTATGGAAATGGAAATGCTAAACAGTGTTGGTCATTTTCAACTTTCATACCTCCATTTCTAAGAACTAGTTTATTAAATTATTTGGGAACTATAGTCTAGGGTAGCCTAACAAGTGAATTTTCTTATTTGCACCCTTGAAAGCAGAATTTAGAAATTTAGTGATGTACAGAAAAAAACTATTCGTATGTAGTGATTCATATCTGAATTTGATATTACTATTGATTAGAACTAAAGGGAAAGTAAAGGCAAACAGACAGAGAGATAGCTGATGGTGATTAGGAAACAAACTGTTTGTGTACATAAGCAAGTAGGTAGAGAAATAAAACAATAAATTCAGTGACATGCAATTTATAATGATTAGTAAATAAACTGTAAACTTTGTATGTGTACATAATTTTTTCAAGAAGTATTAATAAATATTAGCTTTTTAATTCAAACCATGACTAGAGATTGTAATTGTACTTTAAATAAATTTGTAGGAGCTCCACTGTTTTGGTAGTAACTACTTATAACCATTATCTATGGAAAAAAAAAGACATTTAAGGATTTTCAAAATAAAGTGATATTTGCTACATAGGGCTTATAATGCTTGGAGACGGCTTGAATGGGTAATTAAGAAAATCTTTAATATAAGTTTAAAATAACAGCAAATGTACAAGGTTTTTTCATCATCAGGTACAAGCAGTTTACACTGACACAGATATATATATACAGTATAGAACAAAGAAGTCACACAATAACTTTCTTTGAACACATGAATTCCATTCATCCCAACATCAAATTTACCATAGAACACAAAAACAATAAACAGTTATCTTTTCTTAACCTCAACATTATTAGATCGGACACACAGTTTAAAACCAAAATTCACCGTAAGAACACACACACTGGCCTCTACATCCCCTGGAATTCTGCTTATGACACCACACAAAAAATCAATACACTCAAAAACCTCATAAACACAGCCACAATACTCTGTTCAACGGACTACATAAATGAAGAAATCAACCACATAAAGAATTTTTTCATTCACACCAATAAATTTCCACCACCTATTGTTGAAAAACTCTCCAACATTCCCCACAACAAAACTCAACTCATGAAC